GAGCCAACTACCATCATCGGCACAGAAGGTGCCTATCACATATGATGATTGGTGGAAAGTTCCCAAGGACATCAAGGGTAGTGTGTGGGGAGAGGTGAAGAGGCGGTTCACGTATCTAGCGGAGGGCTATAATGAAGACACTCAAAAATGTTCCAAGATGATTTTGGGCACCAGCAGCATGTTATAAATGTCTTGGACATGTTAGAGATCAAATGGCGCAACAAAATAGCAAAAAAATCGCGGAGAAGACGGCGAGCCGAGGCGAGGCAGGCCAGTCGGCGGCCTGGCCGGCTCAAATCCCCTCCCCCCCCCTCCCAGTCAGCTTAGCCGACTCCCCCAGTCGGCTAAGCCGACTCTGCCTGTATTCTGAACCAATTTGTTTCCAAATTGAGTTTTGGCGTGGGAAACTTGAAGAACGTGTTTTGGAGTTGTTTTCTACTGGGACAAGACCACCCCCACTATATATATGAGAGGAGCACGGCCGATTGAGTTCCTATCTATCTAATCGATCAAAAACACATCTATTACACCTTTTACTCCTTTTTCCAATCCCTCTTGCTGTTCGGCACGTCTCCCGGCGAGATTTGTCGGCGTCCTTGGTGGCCTCGCTGGTCCTAGGGCATCCTCCACGTGCTCCTCCCGGACAGGTCTTTCCGGGAGAAGTTTGGGAGTCTATCTGGCCGAGTACAGGTTCAACCTCGGCCTAACCGGTCTCTGGATCGGTTTCGACGATCAAGCCACGTTCTTGCTGTTTTGCAGGCTGATTGTAGCCTTTTGGGCATACTAGCCCCTGCTGGTGTGTGATCTGAATATCCTCCGGCGTTACACTTATTACGTATTATAAATATTAGTACTTTTTGTATATATTTAAAACTTATGCTTTATTAGCTCTTTGAAAAAATGAGAATAATATTCTTTTAGGCGGAGGGAGCACGTCGCTTTCCTGAGACGGGCTGCGGTTCATTTTTGTGTAGATGTACAGTGTGACAGACTGAAAACGATATCGAAGGTTTCCTTTCTTTGCACAGCAACAAACAACAGATCACTACAGCTATATTTTCGTAAGCATGCTTGCTTGTTTCTGTCGCGTTTCTGCGTCCGGTACTGCAAAGTTTTTGCCATGCGTGCCTAGTGTTTCTAGGTAGATATAAAAGGCGAAGGGAACTTGGTATGTGCCCACAGAATCACAGCTGGTGAGTGCAAAGTGGAGAAGAAGGTAGTTCCAGTACAGAGGGAAATAGGTGTGCTGTAGTGGACAAGATAAGCGCCGGCCTAGTATTGCATCTATCAGCAATCCCAGCTTATTAAAAACCCAAACTCCGAGCCAAAGTGCATCTGATCGTTCAAAGAACCAGAAAAGAAATACGTACGGGGGTAGTAGTGTAGTACTATGATACATCACCTGTGTGCAGCCCACTTGCAGCTGGCTCCCATCAGATTAGCGCATTCGCTCTTTTTTTTTAAAAAAAAAACAGTCATGGTTTTGATGTTAAGGGCGTGTTTAGTTGGCGAATTTTTTGTTTTGGCCATCGCGCAGCTTTCTTTTTTAATTAGTTAAAAAAAAAGTTTCGTCTCAGTCATAGTTTTTTTTCGGTTTTGATGCTAAAGATTCGATCACTTTGTGAAAATTTTTTAGGAACGGGCCTAAGTATCCGTCCCCGTTCCCGTCTTCCAGGACCGTTCAGCATCAAGCTGCACCTGAACAAAAACCCAACCGCGAGCGGCTACCCCTTCCCGATATTTTAACCTAAGCAAGGCCTGCAGCCAAGCACACACTGCACAAGCAGTCCAAAAGCCCGGTAGAGGTAGAGATAGGATAGCCACGCACGATCCGTGCCAAGAGCGCGTGTGAACGGAGCGGGCGGATAAGCTCAGACCGGCGGTTGCGCTTGCGCACGCGACGACGTCGCCATCGCTGCCGGCAAGTGGAGTGTGCTCTCCCCACCACCACGAGGCGAAGGCACGAGCGAAACACCAACCGCGCAATCAATCATACAACAGAGGCCACAGCTGGGCTCGGTTGGCTTTGCATGCCTTGCGCGGGGGTCCCGTCCCGCGCGACGGCCAGGCCAGCGCCGGCGTGAGCGGACGCGCACCGCACGAGCACGACGCGAGCCATTAAACGACGCGACGGGGACGGAGACGGATGGGTGGGGATCCCTGGATGGGGGCGAGCGACTGAGCGCGACGGCGCGGCGGGAGGGGGGAAGCACCTCCCACAACTTGGGCAGGGCAGGGGCGATTGATTGAGCCGGACGGACGCCCAAAAAGTTGTGTTTTGTCCGGTAGCCCGCAAGTGGGTGTGTGAGAGCGATGGGGAGCCGCACGCGCATCAGGTGCGGTAGCTTCCTTTTTGATCGGAGGTGCGGTAGCTTCCTGCGATCAGCGATCCCGCTGCAGCTCTGCTGCCCGCTTTTGTGCAATACCGGGGCAGCCTGCCTGTGGATTGGAATGGAGACCCGTCCTGATTTTGCGGCTCAGTGACGTCGCCATCGGCTGGACCTGGACTTTACCGATGCTTGGTGTCGTCCAAGACTTCCTTCGGTGACTTATTAATCAACTAGCCAAGTAGGAGTGAAGTGATTCTGGTTAAGAATGCCTTTAATTAAAAGATTGATTGTTCCATGAATTATAAGACGTTTTGACTTTTTTATATATCGGTTTTACTATGTATCTAGACGTACGTTATATGTAAATACATAGCAAAATTGATGTACCAAGAAAGTTAAAGCGACTTATAATTTAAAACGGTGGAATTACCATTTATGTCGTGAAGGCTACATCTACATAGTGGACTATATGAATGTTTAGAATACTGAATGAAGAGATGGCTTCCCTCACATACTATTCTGCTGTGTGTTCTAATCTAAGGGAGACAAGATTATCTATAACTTCTACACGTCTCTTTTTTGAGATAGGGAATGATAAAACGGTGCACAGGTCAATTCTCAACCGATATATCTTTTCCAAATGGAATATGGATGCAACCGTTCACAAGACTCACAAGTGTGAAACCACACCTTCGGTCACACCTCGTCTTTTAGCGACACGGCAACCTTTTACATCACCGTCACAGTAAACTAGCACATCCAACTTTCTTATCCATTTCCCTCGATAATCTTTCCCACTATTTGGAACTAGAAGTAACACTTCATTCACACCAGCAAGGGCAACTACTTTTTATTGGTATTAAGAATTATGATGACATCATAGTGGTTCACTTACATTTGTTTTGGGAACGAGGTGGGGACGCGATAGTTCTGCCCTAATTTTTTAAGGACCAAATAGTCCTATCTCTATGCTTGATTCATGAGATTGGATCATCCTGGTTTTATATTTGATTGGATGGATACAAAGGGAAAAGATGGATGGAGTGTTTGGATCCGTTAGTTGTCATCAACGTCGGTCATGTATGTAAGCCTATTTTAAACTTTCTTTTCCTTTGTTAGCACGTACACCGCAGCACAGCTTTGCATGGTTGGCTGGACAATTGATCAAGTACACAATTGAGATCATGCCTAGCCCCTGCACCCGCCCATCGCCCTGACCTTAACCTAGACTCTGCATGACGTGGTCGTGGTCGTGGTCGTGGTCGTTGCCACCCCGCCCTCGCCCTCGCTTGCCGGCACACCCTTGAACCCAGCACCCATCTCCACCTGGCACATCCGCCACCACCACTACTGTGACACAAAGAAGAGGGAGACACGGACTGACTCACACCATTGAAGAGGGACAAGCTGGACCCAAATCCATAGGAAATATGGAGACAGCTTCAACCCCGGTGTCAATGAACAAAACACCAAGACAAAGTGGAATATCCACCTAGGCCTCGTTTAGATTGTAAATTTTTGCAATCCGGACACTGAAGCACGTTTCGTTTGTATTTGACAAACTTTGTCCGATCATGGACTAACTAGGCTCAAAAGATTCGTCTCGTGATTTACAACCAAACTGTGCAATTAATTATTTTTTTTACCTACATTTAATGCTCCATGCATGTGTCCAAAAATTAATGTGATGGAGAGAGAGTGAAAAAACTTGGAATTTTGATGAAATCTAAACAAGGCCCTAGCTAACTATTAATTGTGTGAGTAAGAAGGAACAAGTTAAAAAGTAATTTTAAGTTGGGTGGTAGGTAAGACAATAGCTGACCTATCTAATACTAGTTAAGGATCCAACATAGCCACAGCTTACTACTAGTAATAACTATTAGCCACATGGGATCCAAGCAAACCATTAATATAACTCTTTCAATCTCACAATAAGCATTTATAAAATCAAAATGTTATCCCACAATAAATGTAATTTGACCTCTTGGCCCAACTAAAACTAGTAAATTTAGCTATTTTTTAGTTTCCAAAGCACATGTGTCATTCCCGTAACACAAATTTCTGAAAAAAAAATTACTTTTATGAGGGCACATGTGTCATTCCCATAACACAAATTTCTGGGGAAAAAAAGAATTTTACACTTATTTTTGGAACGGAGTGAACAGTGGCATAATATCCTTAAAAGCAAAAAAGGACGTGCGGTTGTACGGAGATGCTGAATGCGACTGTCACCAACTCACCGTAATCACAATTCCCATTTGCAAGAAACATAAATAGACGAGTTCCTATGGTACCAATGCTGCAGGCTAGCTAACCAAAAATGACACTTCACAAGAATCACAAGGCCGCGAGGGCATACTTGTGGAAACCAGAGAGAGACCGGCAAGAGCAGTAGCAAGTTGCCTGGTTGCAAGTTGCGTCCCGCGGCGGCCTTGAGCCAGATGCATTCCCCTTTTGCTTTCTTTCTCCGGCTGTGGGAACTGAGCTGTGCCTGTGCCTCCAATCCATTCCCGCGCTTTTCTACTCTGCTTCATCCGCCACCTATAAATATGCGCCCGCAAATCCCACCATCCGCATCGCAAAAACCACCCAAGACAAAGTTCAAGCAGCACTGCAGCAGCAACGCAGATCAACACCACCTTGAAGCGAAGGAAAATCGAGCTAGCCAAGATGTGCCCAATCAAGAAGGAGACGAGCGCCGAGTCCGGCTCGCCGTGCAGCTCGCCCTCGGCCTCCTCCACCTCGCTGGAGCACCACCAGACAGTGTGGACGTCGCCGCCGAAGCGCCCCGCGGGGCGCACCAAGTTCCGGGAGACGCGGCACCCGGTGTTCCGCGGCGTCCGGCGCCGGGGCAACGCCGGGCGGTGGGTCTGCGAGGTGCGCGTGCCGGGGCGGCGCGGCTGCAGGCTCTGGCTCGGCACCTTCGACACCGCGGACGCCGCGGCCCGCGCGCACGACGCCGCCATGCTCGCCATCGCCGGCGGCGCGTGCTGCCTCAACTTCGCAGACTCGGCGTGGCTGCTCGCCGTGCCGGCCTCGGCCTCGTCGTACGCCAGCCTCGCCGACGTCCGCCGCGCCGTGGCGGAGGCCGTGGAGAGCTTCCTGCGACGCGAAGGGGCGGCCGCGGTGGTGGACGACGCGCGCTCGGCCGCGTCCTCGACGTCGTCATCCCCGGCCAGCGATGACGATGAAGCCGAGGAGTCGTCTTCGGCTACCGAGGATTCGCCGGCGTTCGAACTGGACGTGTTCAATGACATGAGCTGGGACTTGTACTATGCGAGCTTGGCGCAGGCGATACTCATGGAGCCACCGCCCACAGTCACCACCGCGTTCTGCGACGACGGCGTCGCCGAAGTGCCACTCTGGAGCTACTAGCTAGGACTAAAGACCGCTGTACTCCAATTTTTACCTTTTCGTTCTCTTCGCGTCCAATGCCAACAACTAGTAATGAGACAGAGCAGCTTTGGAAAAAACAGAGCATGGCCGTTGACTTTCTAATGGTAGCGAAAAGTATTCGCTATTTGGAGCTTGTTATTATAGTGGTTGACCCTGAACTTGTCTACGAGTACGACTCTCATACAGTCTCAACTTAAAAATCGTCAATTTGGAGCCAATATAAGTTAATAGTGGTTGACCTTGAAGCTGCCAATGTAACCGCTAACGGCATGGAGGACAATTCAATAATTCGTCCCTGGTTCAAGTGGACACCTTTCCCATCTCACACAAGGTAGTTAGCGCGCTCAGTGTCCTGTATTTGATGAGTAGTACTCTGTACTTGTAGAATTGCGAGGCTCTGTTTGGTCAAAGCCTCCAAAGAATGCATGCGTTTTTTCTAAGGCCACAACCCACAAGCGAGGGTCAAGTGAGCATCCGTCTACCTGTTCAATTTGTACAGGAGGCACCTTAGCTTTGCGTGCCCATGACTCTTTGACGCTTGACAGTCAATCTGAACGTATGTCAGCAGTGATGCGGCGTAGAAATGGCAACGGCACGTTGACTGTTGATGGAGTATGCTTGAAGACTGTAGCACTCAACGCACGTGGTACATAAGTACTGGTAGATTCTTGCAGTGATAGTACAATCGTCAACATTTCTATTGACAGTTAGATAGAGCCTGATTGGTTCACTTTTAAAATTTACCATGCCAAAGATTTGACAAGTCATGATTTTGGCTAGTATTTGGTTTGCTAGCAAAATTTGTCAAACTATCACATTTGTCTTGCCAAATTTATGGTAATTTTTTTACCTAAATTTTGGCTTGCCAAGTCTTTAGCATGGCAAAATTGGGAAGTGAACCAAACAGGTCCTAAACTCTTCAGTGCTCTACTGACTTTTCTGGAGGGAAAAAAAACAGAGAAAAACTTCCTCAGAGTTCTGATAGAGTTGAGGTGGGGGATTTCAGTTCAATCATCATGGTACTCGATTACTCGCATACGTACATCCGTTTCCTGCAATGGCTTGTTGTTCATTGTTTGTTTGTGCAGCTGGTATCCAGTCCAGTGTGACATTGGCACCACTAAAGTACAGGCGCGATTGGCAGTATAGCAATCAGAAAAGCCACCGTTACAGCTGTAACATCTCTGATCACAGCTTTTGCGCATGCGGTGATTATTTCTGTCTCGGTTCCCGTACCAGTGCTGCACGTTTTTGCACTGATAATTGGCCTGATAACCATGGCTGACACTACTGTTGGCTGATTAATCGTAAGAGAAAAATATTATTCGTTGACTGAAAAAATACAGCTTATAAGCCAAACGAACAGGTCGAATATTTTTTCGGACCATCTGAACGTGTCACTTGTACTGTTGTACACACTAAAATAAGGGTGACCGGAGCTCGGGAGGTGCCCAAATATAATCCTGTACCCAACAGTATTGGAGGTCCCATACGTTAAAAAAAGCATGTTGCGTCCGTGTATCATAGTCCATCATAGTCCATGAAGTAGTAGGTGACTAGGTCCTCTTCGTTTGTTTTATAATCCGTACTTTTCGACTTGTCTTTATAGCTAAAACAGTGTTTTTCACTCACAACAAATTAGTCGGAACTATATTTTAGCTTATTTTTTCAGCGAAACGAATGGAGCTTAAGCTAAGTAGTAGCATAATCCAACCTGGGCCGAAAGTGCATTTAGTTCAAAGAACCGAATAAAGAAAAACAATTTTTTATACAGATTACTGTACTAGGATACGTTCCCCTTGTACTAGTACTAGGATACGTTCCCCTTGTACTGGTACTAGGATACAGATTACATTTTTTTATACCTTCCACTTGCGGCTAATCCCCTACCAGATTAGCACCGGCAGCATAAAAAAAGGAGTTATTCTACTGTCCAACCATGTGATTTATGCAATTTCAGCACATGAATTTTTTTGCACCATATAATTAAAATCCAACAGCTTCCATCATCTTTCTATCTTCAGCTTTCTTCTACCTTTAGACAATCACAAATCACAAGATCACAGATCCACATATCACAAGAAACAATTTTTTTTTATATAGAGGGACAAAATGACAAATTGGCCGCACGTGTATACGCGTATAGGTTCAGTGCTAGCTGTGCGCGTGACCAAATTAGCTAAACGCCTAGACAGCTCGATTCTCCAGCACGGCCGGCCGGATTGATCTCATCCTCTCGTATACGCGTAGACAGTTAAAAAGAGAGAGAGAAAAAAAAAATCATGTTTTTTTTTGCTAAAATATACGTGTGTTATATAATATTTCTGAAAAAAAAATCAATGTTCAGGTTACATGCAAAGCATTCATCCATCCCGTCAGCCGCAGCAACTGGACCTGATCGGACTTCCACAACTTTGAACGGCTCCCACACTCTAATCAAGTGACCGGACTCAAAAAGTCCCCGAAGAGACGAGATAGAAAAGATAGTACACCGTTGCCCGTTCTCACCGTCTCTCGAGTCGCGACGTCGCCATCGCTGCGCATCGAGGCCGCGGATGGGCGGGCGGCGCCCTCTTGACCGGCCCAAACGGCGACGGGACTCTGCACCGCGAGCAGCACAGTGTGAGCACGGCTGGGGATCCGATCCGTGGGGCGCCGAGGCCCGAGGGTACGGCCGCACGGGCAGCGTGGATGTGAGCGGACGCGCGACCGGACGACGAACCGATAGATCACCTTTTGGCTTTAAAAAAAGGTCGCCTTTTCGCATTGATTGACGCTCGCGACTTGGTGGCTCTGTTTGTTTTTCTTATAATTCGTTTTTTTATTTATTTTTTTTGGTTGAAACATTATTTTTCTTTCATACTAAATCAGCCGAAATAGCGTTTGGTTTGTTTTTTCAGCGAAGCGAACGGAGCCGTTCTGGTTCGGATGGGGACGCAGCGGAGGGAAGGAAAGAGAAGGGGAGGGGAAGCACCTGCCACAGGTTGGACAAGCGGGTTTGATCGAGCCGAGAAACTTCCTTAGATATCAACATATCATAAAAAACAGTAATAATGAACATTTGTAGTATATCTTTCATTTTATATCTACTATAGCAAATGTGTTCATACGTTACAACAGAGACATAACTTGTTGCCTGGTCATTTGGATAGTCTAGGACTCCATACCAGCTCGAATGCTCACTGTGGTCGTTGTTCTAACTCGTATATAGATATGAAAAGTTTGGAGCTTTATTTGGCCGAGTCCCGTGATTTGTTGACTGCACTTTTGTGAGTTACAGCCTGTTCGTTTGGCTGTGGCTTGTCGTAAACGATCGTAAATTTTCAGCCAGAACAGTATTTTTCTCTCACACAAACCAGCCAACAGTACTTCTTCACGAACCAACAACAAAACGAACCAGCTAACCAAACAGGCTGTTAGCCTCATAGCCGATGTCACAAATTCGGGTTAATTCGGTGTCGAACGTAACAGCATAGCTTTCAGTACACTAGGGAGGGTCCGAGCATATACGCATATCTCTTATGACCGTCTAAGGCGCTGTGAAGGCACGTTGTATTGAACTTTTCCTCTATCATAATATAAAAACGCGTAAATTTTTTTTTTGCGTGATCGAAGAAGAAAAAAATCAACCCGGTCCTTTCTCATGGCTAGCGCCTAGGCCAGTACTGTACATGGTATGTCGAATGCTCAGCATCAGTCTATGACGATCACCACAACTGCATCCTACGGACAGGCGAGTCTGACCAAAAAATTTTGACTTTAATGAGGCAATAATTTAAGCCCAAAGAGTACTAGTCATCAGTACGTCAGTCGCTTGTACTTACACTTCTTGAATTTATTATTGGACGGCGGGTCGGCGGCCTATCAAAGGCATCGTTTCTCTAAAGGGTCAACTGGTCAAGTACGACCCAAGTGACAAGCTAACCTCTGCGTACCTGTTCAACACTTCAACTGATGCAGGGGATGACCCCCAGGCCCCAGCTTTGCCTCGCTGGTCGCTGCCGATGCTGTTGACAGTGAATCTGAACACTCGTATCATATGTCAGCTCTGATTTCACGTCAGCTGTTGTCTGTTGACGGAGTAAACTGCGCCGGGGTCGCTGCCGCCGCCTGCTCGCGCGCCGGGCCGCCGCAGCGCGTGGTCGCCCACCATTCCGAACTGCCGCCGCCGGAGAGAACATAGATGATAGCTGAAAGGGGAAAATGAACGGGGAAGGAGATATGAGGGCGAATGTGGCTGGATCTAGGCCGAGATGGGGCTCTCCCATGGATTCTTCTCTGGTGACGGAAGGAGCTTCGATGAGGAAGGGGAGGATGCGAGAATACGAGCAATCCGGTGCGGCGGACAGGCAGAGGATGCGGCATCGTCTGCCGCAGCCCGACTTCACGAGGCAGCGGATCCCACCGCGGGGTTTCCAATCTTGCTGCCTCCACGCATCTGTCGGCTACGGCGGCGCATCCTGTCGTCTCGTCTGCAGCCATGCCTACGCAGGGGCCGAGATCTTGAAGAGAAGAGAAGGATCGATCTTTCTGTTGGTGCGGGCGTGTGCAGATGAGGATAGAAGCCTCTCGATGGGAAACGGACGAACGAGTGGACGAGAGCAACCCGTCGGTTTTTTTAATACCATTTTTGGACTCGTCCATGGAAAGAGCAATAAAATAATATAAATTTAGTGCTGCACGCCTGCAGTTCTCTGTCGGTTCCAGCTACTGCAATTCAGCAGGCCTATGCGATCGATTAATTCGGGAAAAAAATTGAATTACAGAAGTGCAATTAAACCGGGACGGAGGGAGTACGTCACACGTGGTGTCCACGAGTATTGGAGGTCCAAAACATCACAGTAAGTATTATGTAACTCTCATCTCTGTTTATCTGTACATTGTTGGTCTATCTATACAAGCATCCCTGATTAAACAAGACAATCAACTTGGGCCGAAAGTGCATTCGATGGTTCAAAGAACCGAATAAAGAAAAGCCAGTTTTGCTTAAACAAAGCATATAAGTACAGATTAGTAGTACTAGGTGTAGGATACTTCCCCCTTCGTAGTTCGTGGTTCGTACCATCCAGTTGCAGGTGCTGGAGATAACCACCCACGGCCGATGCCAAAAGCCCAAAAGCGTGTGTGTAAACGGAGCGGACGGATAAGCTCGGACCGCCCGTTCGCGTCGCTGCCGCGGCGGACGCACCTTTCCGCATTGATGGCCGCGGGTTATGGGACGGACGATGAGTAGCACAGGTACACGCACCTGCACCTCCCACGACTTTGGCAGGCGGGATTGATTGATCGATCCGAACGCCCAAAAAGTAGGATTGTGTCCGCTTCCCCAGGAAGTCAACACGAGTCGCCATCTTTTCTTTCTGGCAAAAATGGCAAGTGGGATCAGTTCGCCGCCTGCAAAACAGCCGTCCATATCAAGATTACAATTTCGATCCTTTATGTGATTCGGGGCGATACACCGCCGCCGCCAAAAACTCCCCGTCGGAGCGAGCCCTCGGCCGCCGTCGCTGCCCCCAACAAGGCTGCCGTCCGCAGTCCCCTACTTCCTCCACTCCCTCTCCCTTTCCTCTCTCCGAGCTTGCTCTTTTCCATGGTGGTCGGCGGCCGGAGTGGCCGGAGACGGGTCAGATCCGCGCTCTCCATGGCCGGATCCGGGAGCTGCCTACCTGGATCTGTGCACAGGGAGCCGGTGTAGCGCGAAGGTGGTGCTGGTGCGCGGCCTCACCATGACGGCGAGGCCTTGGAGAAGGAGCCTGGCGGTGGCCATGCCGTGGCGGCCTCCCGTGCGTGCTGGCCTGCCGCAGCAGCGGCCGGGTGGCCGGCGCTGTGGCCAGGCCCCCGCGTGCATCTGGCGCGCCTGGGGCTTCATCCAGTCCTGCCTTCATCTCGAAGCAGAGGCTTCACGGCGCCGTGCGTGTGCACGTGCATCACCCTGGCGCCGGTGGCATCCGAGAAGGCAAGGATGGCAACGGCCGGGGAGCGGATTCGCCCCCCTGGCATCCGCATTCGGCAACAGCGCGCCGCCACCGACGGTCTCCTACGGCACGATGCAAGCCTGCTTCCTGGATGCGGTGGCCGAGTCCCCAGCTCTCCGCTGCTGTCGCCGGCGTCGGGCTGCAGCTTCCGGCAGCGGCGCATAGGGATTCGACGGAGGTTCCCGCGCCTGTAAGCTGCGTGCGGGGACCTCTGCAGCGTGGCGCGGCCGCACGCGCTAGAGCTGCGGACGGTGGGGTCCTGCCCTGGACTGCTCTCCCTCATGCCTGCCTCAACCCATGAGGCCTGGCCCAAGCTGCTGGGCGTAGCGGGCGCGGCTGCCAGCGGGGCCGGTCCAGACGGTGGCGGTGTTCATGGACGCCGTCGTGGCCGCCAGCCACTGCAGCACGCACCGGCTTCGTTGGCAGCTGTGCGGCAGCGGTAGGCTCTGCCCGAGTGCCCTGGGCTCCCCAACGAGCCGCGACGACGAGCTGAGCGCGCCATGGTGCTCGCCGCTTGGGCGCAGCTGATGCGTTAGCGCACGGCCTGGTCGCAGTGTGGCCTGTTGCAGCTGGTGGTGGTGGTTAGCCAAGTCCGGCGTGCCGGGTTGGTATGGAATCTGGGGGTAAGCCTTATCCGGCCTTGCTCCGGTCCGGCGACGATGGCGCACCTGGCGTCATGCCCCTCCCTGAGGCGTCGTTGAAGATACTGCTACCTGCTCGACAGAGCTGCGTCCTTGGGTGAAAGCTCCCCTGCTTCGGCCTACGACGGTGGCGTCTGTGGATTGTGGATGTCACTTTCCTTGTTGAAGGCGTCGTTACCTGCGGCCATCTATGTCCCCGATACCACTCTGAGCGCCACTCTGAACTCTCCCTGTCCTCTCCACCCCCTCCAATCCCTTTCCTTTCTCGGTGTGTGCCTCCGTGCTCCTTGCTCCCCTCTTGGGTGAGACTGGCCCTGGCTGTCGGTCATTGCTGATTTTTCGACAAGTGTCCTCCTCTGGTGTCTCTGCTCCGTCGGCGCTCGCCTTGATGGTGCCAGAAAATCTAATGCCGAGTGGTGTTTCCACCGCTGCCACCATTCCCCTCCAAGGTTTCCTCCCCGTGGACAGCGTTGAATGGGGGTACGTGGGCCTGGAAGTGCTGTAGGTGTCGCTATCAGTTTCAAGGGAGGTCGTCGTGTCCGGTGATCTTGGGCTTGCGTGTTCGTCACCACTCTTAGTCCCCATTCCAGTGGTTGGTCCTCAGATGGAGGGCGACAACGGAGCGGCGTAGCTACGAGGAGTGGTGCAGGGCACGATGGCCATGGCGAAACCGGCGAGTATGCTGTTCGGCGGTGGCGCAAATCGACGATCGGTTGGCGTCTCTCGGCTTGCATCTAGGATTACTCTTGTTGCTGTACTGTTGTTGTTGTCTCTGTTAAGTGTTGTTGTAACCCCTCTCTCTCTCTCTCCTCTTTCATGTACTTCTTTGACCTTTAAGGGTCGACCCCATATATTAGGTGCTTTGCACCCTTCCACCCACCGGCTTGCCAGGATTTGTGAAAATAAAAATCAAGCGGAGACAAATCGTCCCCCGTTGCCTTTAAAAAAACAATTTCGACCGAGTGCTGAAATGTAAAAAAAAAAGGCTTGAAATTTGAAGTTCGAAGTTCATTTTTTCAAGTTGAAAGGGAAAAATATGCTGACCTCAACGTTTTCTGACTCTCAAAGTTTGACGGCCGCAATCTTCATTCCCCATTCCTTTTCTTGCATAGAAGAGTCATTCTTAATTAGTCGAGGTGAACGGGGCGTGTTTAAATCTCGACATGATATTATTTATATTTTTGTAAATTTATTAAGAAAGAATCATGTTATTATTGTAGTAGAAGATATGAACATCGACAGCGAGATCCCTTAAATGACTTTGTCAATCTTAATATGCTACTACATGCCCTCATAAGATTCGGCCTGTTCGCTTGGCTGATAAACCATAGCTGAAAGTAATGTTGGCTGATTTGTTGTCAGAGAAAAAAATATTATTCGTTGGCTGAAAAAGTACGACTTATACGTCTAAGCGAACAGGGCCATTGAGTGTATCAACTATACGAGGGCATCCACGTGCGGATAAAAACTCTGAATTAATTGATGAGACACACCAGCTTTTCATTGATTGAACACAAGTTTCCCAACCATAGTGCACCAGAAATGGAATAACTGCGGCCATTTCTTTTCCTTTATCATGAAACAAGGGTGACATTTGTTTTTTTCTTATATACAAAGAAAAGAGAGGAGACTGCTACTACTAGCATTTTTCGTTATCAAGTCACTGTCGAAATCTCCCTGTTGCCTGCCCACTTGCAAGCTGCAAGTTGCATCCCCGGCCTTACCCAGATCCAGATGCAGCCCCCTTGCTTTCTTCTCCAGCTCGGCCAAGCCCACTGGCTGCCCTCCCGCGTTTTTTACTCTGTTCAGCTAAGCTGACTGCTACTGCTGCTCTCTGTTCCAACCTCCAGCCACCACCTATAAATATGCGTCCTCAAATCCGCTCCCATCGCAAAAACCACTCGAACACAACTCAAGCAGGACCAAAGGCCCCTACACTATCCGACGCTCAAGCAGAGAAGGGATCACAAGAGAAGATGTGCCCAATCAAGAAGGAGATGATCGGAGAGTCGAGCTCGCCATACAGCTCGGCGTCAGCCTCGACCTCATCGGAGCACCACCAGACGGTGTGGACGTCGCCACCGAAGCGGCCCTCGGGGCGGACCAAGTTCCGGGAGACGCGGCACCCAGTGTTCCGCGGCGTCCGGCGCCGGGGCAGCGCCGGGCGGTGGGTGTGCGAGGTGCGCGTGCCGGGGAGGCGCGGCTGCCGGCTCTGGCTCGGCACCTTCGACACCGCCGAGGCCGCGGCCCGCGCGCACGACGCCGCCATGCTCGCCATCGCCGGCGCGGGCCGCGCCTGCCTCAACTTCGCTGACTCGGCCTGGCTCCTCGCGGTGCCGGCCTCGTACGCCAGCCTCGCCGAGGTCCGTCACGCGGTCGCGGAGGCCGTGGAGGACTTCCTGCGCCGTGAGGTGGTGGTCCCAGACCAAGAAGACGACGCGCTCTCGGCCACGTCCTCGACGCCGTCGTCCCCGTCCAGCGACGACGGCAACACCTCTGATGCCGGGGAGTCTTCTGAATCTGATTTCTCTCCTCCCACCGGGGCCTCGCCGTTCGAATTGGACGTGTTCAATGACATGAGCTGGGACCTGTACTACGCGAGCTTGGCGCAGGGGATGCTCGTGGAGCCGCCGTCCGCGGTCACGGCGTTCATGGACGAAGGCTTCGCCGATGTGCCACTCTGGAGCTACTAGAACCGACTCTTAGGCCGTTGTACACTGAATGTTTCCGTTTCTTTGTTTGGCCTCTGATGGCTAATTTTGGCAGTGTAACGGTTACTTCTTTTGGTAATGAGACAGAGAAGTTTGGGAAACATCAAAACAGAGCATGCCTATTGCCATTTTATGACTAAAAAAAATCCTCTTTTAGCACTTACAATGATACTATGGTTTTCTAACTTAAGCTTTGCACTTCGTACTAAGGATGCAATAGGAGACCCTCGTGGCTTTCCGTATTATAAATGAGACATGATCTCATAACTGCCCTGGTCGCTTGGCTGATAAGCCATAGCTGAAACTACTGTTGGCTGATTTATTGTAAGAGAAAAATATTGTTCGTTGGCTGAAAAAGTACGGCTTATAAGCCAAGCGAACAGGGCGATAAGCCGTACTTTTTTAGCCAACGAACAATATTTTTCTTTTACAACAAATCAGCTAATAGTAATTTCAGCCATGGCTTATCAGCCAAACGAATATGACAAAAGCCACGAGGGTCTTCGTTGACTGTTCCAAGTTGAAAGAGAGTTGGGAGAATCCACTTCACACGTTGCCAAAAGGAGTAGCAAACGAAGTGGTATAGAAATAAGTAGGAGTAGATTTTGCTTTCGAAGTAAATAGATAATTTTAGTTTTGGTCCATGAATCCTATTTAGATAATCAATAGATTTGCTATGATGGCTTTTCAAAAAAAAAAAGATGCTTATAACTAGTTATTAAACTAAACTAAATATGTGGAGACCAGAATTATTTGAGCCTTGGGAAGCATGCAACTGGGACTTCACTATCACCCAATGGTGGTTATACTAGTGTTTGACCCTCAACTTGTCTGTCTCATATACTGTTGACTTCTTTTTTCTATGGCTTCAAGTGAGCGCCCGCCTATTCAGCCCTTGTTTAGTTCGCGAAATTTGGATTTTGGGGCTACTGTAGCACATTCGTTTTTATTTGGCAAATAGTGTTCAAACATGGACTAATTAGGCTCAAAACGTTCGTCTCGCAATTTCCCACCAAACTGTGCAATTAGTTTTTCTTTTCGTCTACATTTAATGCTCCATGCACGGACCGCAAACATTCGATGTGACAGGTACTATAGCAACTTTTTGGAAGTTGGGTGAAACTAAACAAAGGCCTCAATGGAAACAGGGGACGACCCTCGCCCGTGCAGCCGTGCTCCGTTGACAGTCAGTCAGAACACTCGCATGTCAGCAATGATGCTGCACACAGGGGCAACAGCACGTCAACCGTTGACAGAGTAAACTCGGTGACAACAGTATTACGCAGTCAGTTGCGTCAAGGCACGCAGACTGACAGAGTCACGAACAATGCCATATTCGCAAAAACGGTAATTTCAGCACCCAACGGAATGTCCACTGAGTTCTTTTCCTCGGTTGCAGTGATGCAGAGTGACGAAGGAACGATTAACCCGTTGAAATCCTCAAGTGGCAGTGTGCCAAGGAAATCAAGATCTGTTCAAATTCAGTGTGACAATCCGTTGAGTCGATTCGGCACAGCTGTAACACCTATAATCACAGCTTACGCCTAAGGTGATTGTTTCTGTCGCGACTCCGTAGGGTGTTCAGTTCTGCACGTTTCTTCTTCAGTTGTCTGTCTATCAGAAAACTGCAAAGAAATCTTCCAGCCGTCCCGTCCGGATCCAGGCCAGAAGCGCGTGTGCACGTCGCGTCGCTGCCTGCTACGGCGTAGTACGCACCTCCCGCGACGCCGCGCCCCCAAGCCGCAACTGGACTAGAATACTCCACTCTCCTTTAGGCCTTTCCGCTTTGAAGCGAAGGCCGTGACGCGAGCGACGACGACACAGGTGAGTGAGCGACTGGGTGGGGGTCGCCAACTCGCCATGGTTGCGACGGCGCGGAGTGCGGAGGCATCCTCCGTCCGTCCCCCCACAAGTTGGGCAAGACGGTACTACTATTCATTGAACGAGCCGGACGCACCAAAAGCAGTGTGTTTGTCTGCTTGCCTTGCCCGGGAACTCGGAACAGAAGTGGCAAGCGGCAGGACTGTGGGATCGGGACTGCGGCGACGCATTCGCCGCACGCGGTTCAGGTGCGGGAGCTTCCCGGCGGCTGCGGCGGCTGCTGCTGCTGCCCGCTTTGTGATACCGATACCGTGGGTGGTTTCGAGATGGTGTTATCAAGGAATACTTTTCTCTTTCAGTTGATTGTATGTGTGTGACTCAATCTGGTCCAGTCTGGCCGTAAGAATTGCTATAGGATTTTCACGGTTAAGGTTCTGTTTTAAAATCCATTTAAAAAAAAATCCTGCATTAATCGGGTAACTCGAATGGGCCCCTTCTACTTCAAAGGCTTGGTGCCCAACTGCCCATGCACCAAAATCAAAGTCACTCGAAGCAGAACGCGACCAGCAGCATAATTCCAAATCTTTCTTGAGAGATACTACTACTATAGATGTCATGCATTTCACCGAGAGGAAATTCAATCTTGATTAAATGACGAGAAACATAAGCTTTTTATTCGACGTGCTGACCACAGTGACTCTCTAGATACACGGCACGGAGTCCCAACTCTCAAACAACACATGCTCCGAGCTACACTGAACCAAGGACCTAACGTCATGTTCGTTTCGCTTATAAACTGTACTTTTTCAGTCAACGAATAATATTTTTCTCTCACAACAAATCAGCCAACAGTACTTTCAGCCATAGCTTATCAGCAAGCAAACAGAGCATAAATTGCTAACTGCAACAAGTTGTTTTCTTTATCCACAAGCAAGAGCAATATTTGTGCGGTGCAGCAATATTTGTGGTTGTGCTCGGCTGTTATTCTACAGTGGCTGCAGCCGCTGCTGTATATTTGTGCGGTGCAGCAATCTTACCATTATTTATTCTAAAGAAAGAACAAGAGTGGGATTTGACAAGCCCACAAAACCGTTGTAGGTTTACGAGAGACGGAAACCGTTAGCGGAAGCAAAAGCAGTCTTGTGGTTGTACTCGCGCCGTACCGATAGATCTAAATGAATAAGAATAATGAAAACATCAGGTCACTCTCGAAGCTGCTGCAAGTTGCGTCCTCGGCCTTACCCAGATGCGTCCCCCCCTTTCCTTTGCTTGCTTTCTCCAGCTGTGTGCTCCCTTCCCGCGTTTTATCCCCTGCATCCGCCACCGCCTATAAATATGCGCCCGCAAATCCACCATCGCATCGCAAAACCACTCACTCGAACACAATTCAAGCAGCTGCAGAGATTACCAGTCACCACAACAACATCCACTCGAGAGGTAGCTAAGCAATCGTTCCACAGGCGATCCAGAGCAAGATGTGCCCGATCAAGAAGGAGATGAGCGCCGAGTCGTCGGGCTCGGCGAGCAGCTGGGCTTCAGCCTCGCCCTCGACCTCGTCGGAGCACCAGACCGTGTGGACGTCGCCGCCGAAGCGGCCGGCGGGGCGGACCAAGTTCCGCGAGACGCGGCACCCCGTGTTCCGTGGCGTCCGGCGCCGCGGCAACGCCGGGCGGTGGGTGTGCGAGGTGCGCGTGCCGGGGAAGCGCGGGTGCAGGCTCTGGCTCGGCACATTCGACACCGCCGAGGCGGCGGCCCGCGCGCACGACGCCGCCATGCTCGCCATCGCCGGCGCCGGCGCGTGCCTCAACTTCGCCGACTCGGCTTGGCTCCTCACGGTGCCGGCCTCGTACGCAAGCCTCGCCGAGGTCCGCCACGCGGTCGCCGAGGCCGTGGAGGACTTCCAGCGCCGCGACCTCGAGGCGGCGGCCTCCGGGGACGACGACACGTGCTCGGCCACGTCGGCGGCGGCGGCGTCCACCTCATCGGGCAACGAGGACGACGACGCTGCCACGGACGGTGAGGAGTCGTTGCCGGCCACGGAGGACTTGTCGCCGTTCCAGCTGGACGTGTTCAATGACATGAGCTGGGATCTGTACTATGCGAGCATGGCGCAGGGGATGCTCATGGAGCTGCCGTCCGCAGTTCCGGCGTTTGGTGACGACGGCTACGCCAATGTCGCCGACGTGCCACTGTGGAGCTACTAGAATTGAGGACGTTGACATCTTATAAATTTCCTGATTTTTATTTTCTGTTGGCTATCTATGCCAAATTTTGGGACTGTAGTGGTTACTACTATTGGTAATGAAAACGGAGCAAGTTCGGAAAAGCAAAACAGAGCATGCCCCTGACTCCCCCAAAACAGAGCACGAAACAGAGGAAGTTGGTAGCCTGAACCTATTCCCATTTCCCACTAACGACGAGTCTTCATAAATTTCCTGACTTTTTATTTTTCTGTTGGCCATCTATGCCAAATTTTGGGACTGTAGTGGTTACTACTATTGGTAATGAAACCAGAGCAAGTTCGGAAAAGCAAAAACAGAGCATGCCCCTGACTCCCCAAAACAGAGCAAGGTTTTTTTGTTTGACAACAAGAAACAGAGGAAGTTGGTAGCCTGAAGCCCTGAACCTATTCCTACTAACGGCAAGTATTCATAAAGAAGGCAGTTGGCAAAGCATCTCCATTGGGCTTTCTTAAAACCAATATCTAAATTCTCATTTAGACATTCTCATAAAAATTCTACATCTCTTCGATAATTTCCTTATATTTTGTTCGACACTTTGGAGAGTTGGCTCTACTCTCTATCCTCAATGAGAGGGAAAGCAAAAACAAAGGATGGAAGTATTTAAAAATTTTGTTGAAAAAAATTATTGGCAGGATCTGTTTTCCCCAAAAAATATATGTTTCTACCAATACGAAAATATATAAAAAGGTTTTTGGAGTTCCTTGAACATCATGAAACGTCCGTTTAGACTAGATCAAATGCCTGGTAAGGTCCACTTGAGTTAAAATTTAAAAATATTTGACTCATGAACGAGTGAGATACTCCGTATATATTTAATTTATTTTAGTAGCGGATTCAGATTTCGATGCCACGTTCAGCCCACACAGTTCTGGGGGTTCTCCAAAATGCAAGGACGAATCCCGAGCCACTAATAATTAA